GTGCTTTGACATTGGTTCTTTGCTGGTGTACTTCATCTTCTTCCTTCTTACTACTACTTCTTCTTCTTCTTATCCTCTCAATCCTCTCAAGTTCAATCATTTCTTTTGCAATTGGGCAGCATTGTGCTTTATTGGTGAATTTGTACTTCGCAATTGGTCCGGGTCATAACACCTGTAAGCAAATTCTTCCCTTCCCTCCCCTCCCCCCCCCTCCCTCTCCCTACCTTCCTACCTCCTACACTTTGTACCTACCTACCTATCTATCGTACAACTACCACTCTCGTGTTTGCTCTCCTTCCCCTTCTAGCTATTCTTTAGCTGGGAATCGTATTGGCGGTTCAACAAACCAAAGCGGCCAGGGACCGGTTTACAAAGTGAACGGGCAGCTCCGTTCAGCTGATTGTTATTACCTCATCGTTTGGCCCCCGGATACATACCACAATCCCGGGACCATTCATCTCCTCCATCTGGAATGAGGGTTGCATTCCGTTTGGTCTTTTCCGTCAAATTAAATTGGATCATGCAAACAAAACAGGCAATAGAGAGATCCATCAAATTAAATTACATCATCCAAACAAAACAGGCACAAGAGAGATCCAGCAAATTAAATTGCATCATGCAAACAAAACAGGCACTAAAGCGACAGGGATTGATCTGCAAGTCTCTGAGCTGTCCAGATCCATTGAACAATTACGACCTGGTGATTCATTTCTGCTTGGGAAACAGGTCCAAGACTGGGCCAGAGTTCAGAATAACCAACGCATCGACTATTAAGGAACAATTTCCATCTTTAATGTATTACGTACCTTTTCAGTCACCATCGATGCACGTCATCCACTCTAACAGCAAGAGTATGCAGATTGGTTGTGGATGTTGTTCTCAACCTGTGTGCATAGATGAGGAGCTCTTGATCAAACACCCATCGACTAGCCCTTGCTATCATGGCAAGATCAGAGGGGGACATGAAACGCCAAATGTCACACTCACCCACGTCACTGTGCCGTTATGCACTGTGCAAGCATCAGACACACACACACACACACACACACACACACACACACACACAGAGACTCTGAGAGAGAGGTCAGACAAGCACAGAGAGAGAGAGAGACTCTGAGAGAGAGGTCAGACAAGCAGAGAGAGAGAGAGAGAGAGAGAGAGAGAGAGAGAGAGAGAGAGAGAGAGAGAGAGAGAGAGAGAGAGAGAGAGAGAGAGGTCAAACAAGCAGAGAGAGAAACAGAATGACCGTGCAAATGGAGTAGAAAGGGAACACACAGAATCACGCAAAGCAAGGAAAGGTGACATGTACACTGGTGCAAGCCTGCAATATCTCCACAGGCGAGTAGCAGACATATGATGACAGAGGTTGAGAGACAGCATCCGTTGATGGGAATAAACAGCAAGTAGAAACTGGAAGAACGGAACCCCCAGCAAATTCTTGTCTTCCAATAGGAAAGGCAACAAAGGTTGCTCAAACACTCTCTGAAAAACAATCAAATGACGTGCATTTATTTACCCGGTTCGGAAAAAAAAATTGAATTTGAACTTTGAAGCCTACATTTGAAATGAGGACGGCATTCTGCTGTTCTGAAGTCCTCAGTCAGGGGCAATTATGCAATGCGCAGGACGCTCACCCAGTTGGGAGGGACAGACGAGAAAGTGGCCTGTAACAAGCAGGGATGATTCAGGCACTTCGCAGCCAACACTCTCACAAGTTGAGTACCGGCTATCAGACTGTTTTGCAGCGGCCGCAAGCAAAACTCTAGGCCATGGTACGGGTTCTCAAGCTATAGGCGTGACTGCAATTAGACCAAGAAACAAAGGAAAGCTCAATGCACTTTCCCGGGAGGGGGTTCCAATAAACAAGTGAGCGTGTGAGGTGGAGAAAACACCTCAGGATGCAGAGCCTCACACGTTCTCCGCACAGAAGCTCTATACCCACCACCATCAGCAAGAGGAAGAATTGGCTCTTCTTCTTTGTTTCCAGGCTCTCTCCTCCTCCTCCCGTTCCCCCTTCCTCTTCAGCCGTCTCTTCGCCCTCCATTTCCCTCGCTGGTCAGTTAATCACTCACTACCTCAGGGGCCGCCTTTCTTGCACACACGTTGGTGCTCCCAAGCATGACCACATTCCTCCTGTGCTCTGATCACTTCGAGATCTCCAGCAGCCCTTCATTGCAACTTTCACAAGAAATGTGCAGGCTATGTAACTGGTAGCAGAAATGCGAGAGACCTCTCTTCATGCCTGACATCCGGCGACAAGTCTTTCACACTTACTTAGCACACCTGGCAATAGAGCTCAGGAGGAGACAAGGGTTGCTGAACAGACTTCTCTTCTCTTCTCTTCTCTTCTCGGTCCACTGGAGAAAGCTTTGGCAAGGGGCTGATGAACAGACTTCTTTTCTCTTCTCTCGTCCTACTCGAGAAAGTGTTGGTTTGGCCAGCAATGGGCTGCTGAACAGACTTCTCTTCTCTTCTCTTCTCTTCTCTCGTCCTACTGAAGAAAGCCCTAGTTAGTTAGGCCACCAAGTGGCTGCTGAACAGACTTCTCTTCTCTTCTCTTCTCTTCTCTTCTCTTCTCTTCTCGTCCTTTGATAAGGCTGGAGAAAGCCTTCTCTCGGGCAGCAAAGGTGGTGGTGGGAGAAAAAGAGCTCCAGTGCAATCGCATGGCAGCAGCGGTAGTTATGAGAAGAAATGATAGCCAGGTGGTCGCTTTCTGGGGGTTACCTTATCTCTTTCATTCATCAGATCTGAGAGCCAGCTCAAGCAAAGAAACAAACTGTAAATGAGCAACAGGATCAGCAGGATCAGGATGACACGCGTGGCTTTCCGTACCAAGCCAAGAGAGAGAACCGTCTGCCATAACCTGGCACTGCTGCTCCCGCTTGTCTGCCCCCCTCGCCCTCTCCCCTTGCGTCTCCGTTGACCGGCACCCGCACCCACCAAGTTCGCAAGACTGTCCTCTTCTAAAGCCCTCGCTTTGCGTCTCCGAAGCTCGGCCTCCGCCTCCATTTCCTCTTTTTCCTTCAGTAATCGTTTACACTCCTCATCACAATCAAGCAGAGTTATTCCCGAGGCCACAATGATCAAATTACCATCCCCCGTCCCCGCCTCTTTTCCCAATCCTCCTTGCCCCGCCAGCGTCTTCTGGTCACCCTTCACCGCTGCCTGCGCGTCGGAGCACACCATCTCCTTCTTCAACCTGCGACAAGCACATCGGACGGTCACCTTCTTGTGACACTCTGTGGCTTTCGGACAGGGGCCAGGATGGCAGAGCTCCGGGCATAAGTGGGAGCAGAAGGGGAGCCTCTTGTGACAGAAGTCACCACAGCAAAGGAGGCTTCTCAGCTGCACCTCAGTGGCTGTTTTGAACAAATGGCATGCTAGGATCATGATACGCATGCCGCAGTGGCAGAGTTTCTTCAATGGCACGGCACAGGGAGCACACGGCTCAGGGTGACACAGTCGTCCACAAGGATGTGGACACGGCGGACCCTGCCTCTCCTGCTCGCAAGGCCGAATGCAAGATTCGCACGAATCTTGTACTTGCTTCGATGAGACATCTACGTCTCCCTCCGGCAGCGTACATCGCTGTCCTCCTGTCACTGCTCCAGCAACGACAGAAGCTGGCAGGGGGCGAGGGCCGCGCATCACCGTGACAACATGGCACAGCTTCTGACACGTGTGGTGCCCGCAAGGAAGGGGATTGCCACAGAGCTCCTGACATTGATGAGATGCTGCGGTCACACAAGGCATGAGGCGTGCCTGGTGCTGTCCAAGACAAGTGACGATGACCAATTCGCTACAAGGGGGGCAAGGGTCGCCTTCTTTGAGCACGCGCTTGCTCATCTCCAGCTCTCGAGCGAGCTGTTTTTTCGACTTCGGACGCCACGTGTAGTCCGGATTGGGCGGCGGTCGAGGACCGTGGCAGATCTGCTGACAGAGGTGGGAGCATGGCAGCTTCTCCTCGCAGCGTAGCCCGCACGGAGGGCATGGTCCGTAGTGGCACCTGTGTGGTTTCAACTTGTCCTGGTGGCGACAGAGAGGCTGAATGGCGCACATCTTGCGACACCTGGGCGGCTTCTGATCCTTCTCCGCTCCACATGGAACGTTGAACGCGGTGGCCCCACACGCGCACGCCACGCGCACCGTCACCATGCATGGCGCGCAAGGACCCCGATGACACGGCGCTTGGCACTTGTGGTTTCCGCACATCAGCTTCCGCCCGCACACGTCCGCGCAGGGCGGACAATTCCCGTCGCAACACCGCCGCTTGCACGGGTGCCGCACGCAGTTGCGCGCTCGCATGCACTTGCGATCACAGTGGAACTCCTGATGACACGGCACATCCCGCCACTGGCCGCCACAACGGCATTGTTTCGAGACAACGGCTCGACACAGGTCAATGCATGGTCCGACGTGGCACCTCTCCGGACACCGGTGCCGCCCGCAGGGCAAGAGTTTCTCGCAGGTTGCACCGCACGTCGGGGTGGGTACATCGCACGTCAAGTCTTTGAACTCCACCTTCCCGCAAGGGCAGACCCGTTTGCCCGAAGAGAGAGGGCAGCCAGGACACTTGCCGGGGGGGTGACACACGGCGTCGCACGTGTGTCGCCCACAAGGTAGGCGCTTGCCGCACAGCTTCTCGCACTGAAAATCTCGCTCCGCACAGGTCCTGCTCTCCGAAACACCGCCGCAGCGACACGTGTACTCGCCGGCTTGAGAGCAAGGGGGGCATTCCCCAGGGTGGCATTCTGACTGGCAGAGATGAATCCCGCACTCCAGAGGTTTGGAGCAACGTCCTCTACACGACCACTGACGATGGCCGCAACGCTTAAGCTCCGCTCGGGCGCCACAATAACAACGGAAAAGAAGAAGCTGAGGACAAGGCGGGCAAGGTCCTGGGTGGCACAGCAGAGAGCACTGATGCCCACATTCTACCGCCAACGAAGAGGAGGAGCAGGTGGAGCGGAGGGGGAGCTCGCATCGCTCCCCGCAAGAATGAGGAGCAATCCACCCGCTGACGGGGGGATCGCGCTCTTTCCCGCAGAAGCATCGATACTCCCTTGGGATCTCCGACTGGGAGAACTCCGACCGACACTTCGGACAATGCCAACTAACGGTAGTAGCGGGAGCGGAAGGAGCTTCCGATTCCGCAACAAGCCCCGCGGAAGCGTTCGCCACAGCTCGAGCGGCGGATGCCGCGGACGATTGCCGCGCCCACGTCTGAATGCATTGCAAGTGAAAGATGCAATAGCAACCCTTTTTGCAATCCCAAACGGAATCAGAAACCCTAATTTTCCCCAGGCAGATCAAACACGACGTCGCACCGCTCTGCGAAGCAATCAAGTAGTCCCGTATCTTCTCCAGACTACCCGAGGCAAACTCTTGAATCACTTCTTCGCCTTCCTCCTCCTCCTCCTCTTCATCTTCTTCATCATCGACATCCGCCCATCTCCTCGAAAGCGTCGGCGTAAGCTGCCGCTGCCGATACCCCTGAAAGATTGCGTGCTCGATCCCTGCCGTATCCACGAGCTTTCTACCCCTTTTCTTCTTTCCTCTTCCTCCTCCTCCTCCTCCTCCTCCTTCCCCACCACCATTTGTTGCATTCGCTTCCTCGTCACCAATCCTGCCATCGTCTCCCGACTCCGCGCTGCTCGAGCTATCTCTCCCCGAACTGCTTAACGAAGCAGAGTCGATGACGTCACCACTTTTCCCTGCCGACCTAGACACCGGGGGATTCCATGACGGCAAGACGGGCGCCGGGCTGGGGTTTTGCCGCCTCTGCTGCTGGCCTGTTCTTTCTCTGCTGTCATCCCGCCCATGTTGTTCTCCGTCTTCTTGTGCTTCTTGGCTTCCTCCAAGAGAAGGATAACCCGAAAAAGAACGACGAATCGATGACGACCGGGGATTCGAAGAAGGGTTACGGAGGGTTTGATGGGGTGTATTGGGGTCGGAATTCCTCTCGGCCGATCGCGATCTGCTTGCCCAGGAAGAAGACTGAGACCGCCGATGATTTGGCGGCCGCGACTGTCGCTGATGACCACCCCCCACCCCACCCCCCACCCCACCCCCACCACCCCCTCCTCCCACCGGAGCTTGCTGAGCTGGCAAGCCTGCGGGCGATGACGAAGCTTCAGCTTGCACGTCCGCAGCTGCACGCCGAGCCCATGCGCGACCGTTAGAGCCGCCAGACGGATGACATGACGATTGAGATTGTCTGCTGGACCAACCACCTCCTCCCACGACAGCTGCTGGCGGATCCTGGCCTCCTGTGGCAGAAGCTTGTGATTGCACGTCAGGGGGTGGCGGTGGGGGACGTCGCCAGGACGAAGAGTTCGACGATCGATCTCCAGATCTCTCGGCCGGAGAAGTCGCCCACGCCGACCTGGACCCTGAGTTGGAACGCCCTAATTGCCCATTCGTCACGTCCCTCCTCCTTCCCCCATATCCACCCGATGAAGACGAATGCGAAGCCGCAGACGAAGGTACAGGCGCTGGCGATGGCGATGGCGATGGCGATCCTTGTCGCCGCTGATTGTCCCCTCTGGCCATTGCATGCTATTCTCCTATGTTAAGCGTGCGAAAAAGCCTCACGCTCCACCTTCGTATATGCTTGTATGATTGATTGGATTCGATTAACGGCTTTTTCTCCCTTCTCCGTCAGGGTCGCAACTCCCTCCTGGACATGGCAGAGGCATCCAACCCTCTAGATCAAAGTGGCAGATCGATTTCCACGCATGGGAAAAACAATCGACGACCACGTTCCATGTACCCTGGACACGCCATCGTCGTGAGGTCGGTCTCACACATCATAACTCTCTCCTCTGTGCAGCCCCGCTGTCACAGCCCGTAACACATGCGTTCTCACAGCTGCGTGATAACGTTCCCCCCTGTATCTGGGCGCTCAATTGAGGCCACATTCAGCTGTACACACTCCTTCAGTATGTCACCATGTCGTGACTAAAGAAATAACCAGTCGTCGTAACTACCTGTCTTACAGTGGCAATCGGCCAGCACAAAGCATCAGACAGCGGCACTCCTGCACAGCGGGAAAAGAATATACGTCCTCCTTCTTCGGAACATCATACGGTGAAAGTGGAACGATATGGAGAAGATCGATTAAACGATATGGAGAAGATCGATTACCATTGCCCCTGCGCAAGGATGACACACGCACGAATCAAGAAATGCTCCCAAATCAGTAAGGAAAAAGAATAGTGAATAGTGAAAACAGGGGCCAACTGCCTTTCGTACACGCTTCGGTAGTTCTTCCTCCATACATAGCCGCGCGTATTAATCTCAGCTCACGAAAAAGAAGAACTACAAAAAAAAAAAAAAAAAAAAAAAAAAACAAGAAGAAGAAGAAGAACAACAAAATACACATCGGACTGCTCGTTTCTAGACGCAAAAAAAAGGCACACAGAAAAGGCGCAAGACGGCTATACACACCTACAACAGCGCAAATATGAAGGGGCACAACGATAGGCCACAGAACGATGTATCGATCATCAGGCTTGTCTCAATTTTTTGTTCCCAATGTCACAACATCTTGTATCCAGCAGGAATTGCGTGTGAAGAGCAATCGGCCATTGCTTGTCTTTCTCCTCATGATCTGTTTATTAACACAGATACGTGAAAAAGAAAATCAGCCGCAGGACAGGGGTACTCTGTCAGACGTAGAAATGGAAAAAAAAACTGCGCTGCGACAAACAGCATGCCTTACACCAAGGATATTCTGGACCAAATAGTTCCGTGATGGCGGTCAGATGCATCCTAGAGAGTCCCTCATTAGTCTGTGTCCGTAGCCTAATCCTCACCGCCACACAAAATGAAACCTCGCGATAACCCACTGCTCTCACATGCGAGGGGCACATTAGAAACCTTACTGATAGAGGAGAGATTCCTTCACGCATAGATTTACAGTATTAAATTCTGACGAGTAAAAGAAGAAGATAATCTCGTCTTCGAGCATACTCACACTAGCACTTTTTTACTTACTGTGTTTCTGGAAGGAAGTGCGGAAAGATGCATACAAGTCCGGCCATAAATGCGGTCATAAACATCTAACATACTGCTACTAGTACGCCTTTCCCTCGGTCAGATACATTTAAGATAGTGCCAGTGTGAGTACGCTCTTCCTTCGACACCATCTGGAGAACAAAAAAAAAAAAATCCACCTACGTCATTCATACCCCGCCGAACCCCGTTTCCGCCCTTCTCTCCGAACGCTCACCGCCCCTGCTCAACCCCCCCCCCCCCAAACCTTTATCGGATTCGCAGTAAAGGCAAACGAGACCGCCCCTCTTTTCACATCGCAAAGAGTTATTTTGTAGACAAAAATAAAGAAAATCCACCTA